ATACATCACCTACAACGCATACATAACCTATATCATCATCTGTATCACTGCATCCTATACATCACCTACATCTTCAAATCTATCTAACCTTACATCACTTACAACATCATCCTCATCATCTACAACATAGACAACATCACCTACATCAGCTACAGGTGATCAACTTCCAGGGAACTCCTACAAAACTTGAACAATGTCATTTACACAGGAGTTGACTTGCAGGTGATCCATTTCTACTTGAACTCCTACAAGACTCCTGCCGGCATGGTCATTTTGCACAGAAATTGTTGCACAGGAGTTGCTACACAGGGGTTCAGCTAACGTCCAGGTGATCAAATTGTATCTGAACTCCTGCAAAATCATCCAGTTCTTCTATTTCTCTCTGGTGGCAGGGACAGCCAGGCCGTGGCTTACGAATCGTTACCCTCTGCGGCGTGTCGGACACCCAAACGTGTTGCGAAATGCGGGTCTTGTTTGTCCTTGGGCAACCCTCTGCGGAGATGGCGCGTGTCGGATGGGCAAACATGTGGTGTGGTGAAATGCGAAACTTCTTTGCCCGCAGCAGCCGTCTGCAGAGATCGTGCGTTTCGAACGCCTAAACATGTGGTGGAATGTGAATTTCTTTTGGGCACGGGCAACCCTCTTCAGAGATCGCGCAGGTCGGACATCCAAACATGTGGCAAAATGCAAATTTGGTGAGGCCCGGCACAGCCCCTTCGCACGAAATGAGGGTCAACCGTCAAAAACTGTTGTAAAATTGTGATTTTGAAAGTTCAGATGCAAGCGTGGCACGAAAGTCAAACGGCAATAACTGTGGGAGAGCTGCGATTTTTCAACGTCAGATGCCAACGTTCAAGAATTGGTGTAAAATTGCGACTTTATCCATTTTGAAACGTCAGTCAGGCACAACCGTTTCGCGCGAAATAAAACTTGTGTAAAATTGCGATTTTACAAGGACGTGTTTAAAGTTTCTGCGCGTATAAGATTGTAAAAGCTGCTCTGTGCAAAGGCCTCTCTCTGTGCTCTGTGTAAACCCTGCTCTGTGAACAAGCTTCTATGCGCAAAAGCGTCTGTGTGTAAAAGCTCTGTGTGCAAAGGCGTGTGTGTAAAGCTTGTGTGTGTGTGTAAATGCTTCTGTGTATTAAAGATGCTCTGTTTAGACGCTTCTCTGTGCAAAAGCTTCTCTGTGTAAAGCTTCCGTGTGAAAACCTCTGTGCATAAAAGCTTCTGTGTGTAAAGGCCTCTATGCGTAAAAGCGTTTGTGTAGAAAAGCTTCTTTGTGTAGAGGCGTCTCTGTGTAAAAGCCGCGCTGTGTAAAAGTTGCTCTGTGTAACGGCTTCTCTGTGTAAAAGCGTCTGTGTGTCAAAGCTGCTCTGTGTACCGGCATCTGTGTGTGTGTGTGCGAAGGTGTCGGTGTGTAAAAGCTTCTGTGTGTACAAGCTTCTCTGTGTAAAGGCCTCTCTGCGTCAAAACTTCGGTGTGTAAAAGCTGCTCCGCGTAAACGCTGCTCTGTGAAAACAAACCTGAGTGTAAAAGCTGGTCCGCGCAAAAGCTTCTCTGTGTGAAAGCTGCTGTATCTAAAAACCGTTTGTGCTCAAAGTTCCTTCCCGCAAACACTTGTCTGTGAAAAAGCTTCTCTGTGCAAAATCTTCTCTGTGTAAAAGCTTCTTTTTCTGTAAAAGCTGCTCTGTTTAAAGACTTCTCTGAGTAAAAGCTTCTGTGTGTAAAAGCTTCTGTTTGTAAAGGCATCTCTGTGTAAAAGCTTTCTTGTGAAAAGGCTGTAAAAGTTTCTGTGTCTAAAAGCTTCTTTTTGTAAGGCGTGTGTGTGTGTGTGCAAAAGCTCCTGTGTGTAAAAGCTTGGGCATCTGCGCGTTAAAGTTCCTGTGTGTAAAAACTTCTTTGTGAAAAAGCGTCTGTGTGTAAAGCTGCTCTGTGTAAAGGCTTCATGTGGTAAGGCTTCTTTAGAAAAGGCTTTTCTGTGCAAAAGCTTCTGTGTGTAAAAGCGTCTGTGTGCAAAAGCGCCTGTGTAAAAGCTGCTCTGTGTAAATCCCTCTCTGTGTAAAGGCTTCTGTGTGTAACATCTTCTCTGTGTAAACTTTTCGCTGTGTAAAAACAACATGTCTTTGGATTCTGACTGTCACTCAGGTGCCAGCCCTGGAGCAAACCCTCTGTGGGGCCAAAAAAGACGCGAAACCGTGGATAGATGATATTTGACTCGCGTCAGCTATCATTCATCATCATCTCCATCGCCATTCATCCTCGTCATCGTCATCGCCATCATCATTGTCGTCATCATCATCACCATCATCATTTTTCTCGTGTATTATCTTCTCGTCTCCTCCCTACTGCCTTCTTTCATGCCACGCCGTCGTCTAGTGTTTTATCCATGTGCGAGTGCCGTATCATTTTTTGAAGCAAAACTAGTTCTTCAATCTCTCCGTTCCGCTATTAGAACAAATCTTCAAACTTTGCAGCGTTCTGTTGTTCAATGTTCTTGGAACCTTGCCTGGGCAACTGTTCCTGGACACGTTGCTTGACACTTGTTTATCGGAACCTTGCTTGGGAAACTGTTCTTGGGAGCCTATTCTTAGGAACCTGCTCTTGGGAGCATTGCCTGGTAGCCTGTTCTTGGGAACTTTCTCTTGGAAACCTGTTCTTGGAAACTTTGCCTGCTTGCTTCAAACCTGTTCATTGGGACCTTGCTCGGGAACCTGTTTTTCGTAACTTTGCTTAGGAACCTTGTTTAGGAACCTGTCCTTCGGAACCTCGCTTGGGATTCTATTCTTGCTTCCAACCTTGCTTGCAGATGGTCTTCGAAATTTCGCTTTGCAAGTTGTTCTTGAAAAGCTGTTCCTGGGAACATGAACAACCTGAAACCATGCTTGGGAACATGTTCGTGGGAACCGTGCTGGCAACCTATTGCTTGGAACCTTCCTGGAGAATTTGTTCTTGGAACCCGAACCTGTTCTTGGGAACCTGTTCTTCGAACCCTTGCTTGCGAACCTGTTCTTGCGAAGCTTGCTTGCAAACCTGTCCTTGGGGAACCTTGCTTCGGGACCTGTTCGTGGAAACCTTGCTTGGGAACCTGTTCCCAAGGACCTTGCCGCTACCCTGCAAGGAAACCGGTTCTTGGAACCCTCGCTTGGGAACTTGAGGCACTGTTCTTGGAACCCTTGCTTGTGAACCTGTTCTTGCGAACCTTGCTTGGGAACCTGTTCTTGCGAACCTTGCTTGGGAACCTGGTCTTGCGAACCTTGCTTGGAAACCTGTTCCCAGGAACATTGCCTGGAAACCCCTTGCTTGCGAACCTATTCTTGGAAACCTTGTTTGCAACCTTTTCTTGGAAACCTGTTCCTGGGAACCTTGCTTGGGAACCTGTTCCTGGCCTGGGAACCTTGCTTGGCAACTGTTTCTGGAACCCTTGCTTGGGAACCTTGCCTGGGAACCTGTTCTTGGGAACCTGGCTTGGGAATCGTTCCTGGTAACTTTGCGTGCGAACCTAAACCCGGAAAATGTGATTGGAAATCTTGTTCCTGGGGTGGCTGAGGACCCCAAGCAAGGTTAATTTCTTAGGAACCGATTGCAAGTACGGTTACCAGGTAACGGTTCCCAAGCAAGGTCAGGAACCGTTTCCAAGCAAGGTTCCAAGCACGAACAAGGCTCGCAGGAAAATGTTCTCAAGTAAGCGTCCCCAGGAAGAGCTGGTTCCCAAGCAAAATTTCCAGGAACAACTGGGAACCCTTGCTTGCGAACCTCTTCTTGGGAACCTTGCTTCAGAACCTCTTCCTAGCAACCTTGCTTGAGAAGCTGTTCCTGGGAACCTTGCTTGGGAACCTTTTCCTGGAAACATTGCCTGGGAACTTTTTCCGGCAACCTTACTTGTGACCCTGTTCTTGGGAAACTTGTTTGGGAACCTGTTCCTGGGAACTTGTTGCTGGGAACCTTGCTTGGGAACGTGCTTGGGAACCTTACTTGTGAACCTGTTCTTGGGAACCTTGTATGGGCACCTGTTCCTGGGAACCTGTGGCTGGGAACCTTGCTTGGGAACCTCTTCCTGAAAACCTTGCTTGGGAACCAGCTTGCTGGGAACCTTGCTTTGACACCTCTTCCTTGAAACCTCTTCTGGAAATACTTGCTTGAAAACCTGTCCTGGGAACTTTGTTTTGCTTGCAAAAACATGTTCCTGGGAACCTTGCTTGGGAACTTGTTCCTGGGAACCTTGCTTGGGAACTTGTTCCTGGGAACCTCTTCCTGGGAACCTTGCTTGGGAACCTCTTCCTGAGAACCTGGCTTGGGAACCTCTTCCTGGGAACCCTTGCTTGGGAAGCTCTTGCTGGGAACCCTTGCTTGGGAACCTCTGAGCCTTTCTTGGAACCTCTTGGGAACCTTGCTTGGGAACCTCCTCCTGAAACCCTTGCTTGGAACCTCTTGGGAACGTTGCTTGGGAACCTCTTCCTGGGAACCCTGGGAACCCTGGGAACCCTGGGAACCTTGGGAACCTTGGGAACCTTGGGAACCTTGGGAACCTTGGGAACCTTGGAACCTTGGGAACCTTGGGAACCTTGGGAACCTTGGGAACCTTGGGAACCTTGGGAATGTTGGGAACCTTGGGAACCTTGGGAACCCTGGGAACCTTTGGGAACCTTGGGAACCTTGGGAACCTTGGGAACCTTGGGAACCTTGGAATGGGTTTTGGAGCTGCTCCGGTCTGCTCCGAAACCTTTATATGGCTGAAGACCCTAAAGCTTCTGCTGTTGGTGAAAAAACACAGCACCATTTTTCTTTAATAAAAAAACTAGCATTACTTTAATCTAATCTGATCTAAGCTAATCTATATAATTCAATGTGATCTATCTTTAGATGTGTGCATGCATACATATCTATGTTTGCATGACTTACTCAAACATGGCCGAAACAGGGCTTCACATCTTATCTCAGTCTCAGACACATAAAATTGCAGAATAATAATGCCATTATGTTTTCTCCCCCGTGGTACAGGCCTGAAGGGTACCTTGCTGGGCATAAGCCCCGAGCCAAACTTGCAGGATCTGCTTTCCGAAGTCACAGCCCTTCGGTAGAGAGCGTGGAGCCACGTGAGAGGCACACACCTCAGCGTTGGAGCAGTCCAGCAACGAGCAACGTCATCGATATGTCCACGTAGAACTGTAGAACTAACTATATAACTACTTTGGTAGGTTTATCTACTACATTATACAAATATATACAAATAATGTAAGTGTGCACATGAAACACTCCAGTGATGTCTCTCTCATTAAATCTAGCTTATCAATTCAGCCATACTCAAGAAATCTATAAATCTTACAACACTTACATGTGTATGTATATATATACATATATGATATACATATATATGTGTGTGTGTGTGTGTATAGGTAGATACCAATTTTTCAACCAAGGGGCTGTGGTGATGCCATCACCGCGGTCGGTGTGTGATCTTGGGTTCCAGGACTTTTCGAAATCCTCTTCTTCGAGGACATCTGGAGGTGGTGGTACATCTGCACAGGCAGCAGATATCAGCAGATAATGCCAGCGGAATCTGGGACTTGAAGTCATCCAGAGTTTGGATGTGCAAAATCTGCAAAGATTTTATGCCATGTCCATAGTATGCCATAGATTCTTCATAGATTCAGCATGAAATTTGCCATTATCATAGATACAGTACTGATCCAGTAATCCCAGCAATCCATATCAAAGTGTGTCAACCCCGCCTGGCTCCAAGGTTCTCTCCAGGAAGACAGCGGCCCGGCGAAGCGACAAGGGCGCAGGGAGCCAGGAATCGAAGGGGTTCCTGGTGGCCAGGAAGGGCCATGGCTGGGCCGCTGGGCCATATGGCTGGGCCATGATGGCCACAAAAACCGGGGGTTCTTCTCCAGTCGTGAAAACACTCCATGTAGTGCAATCATGTTCTTTTGAAAGCCTAGTTTGTATGGTTCGTGCGTGCCAAGGGGCAGCAAAAGCATATCCATGCTCATACTCACCTCGGGTAGGTGCGGTCATGACTCCACAGGCTGCAACAAATAGAGTCAAATAGTTTGCACCATCAATGGGTTCTGGGGCTCGAGAACGGGACCATATATTTTTTATGTACAGTACTTTTTAGCCACCTGCTCCCCCCATCAATATGCTTGGAGTTTGAAATTCCTTTCTATGCCCCGTGGGAAGAGATGGGCACCACATTTACAGAACTCACTCGCAATCACAGTTTTTGAGGTTGCCCTTCCCTCAAGCACTTTTTACGAAGAACCTGAAAGTCTCATTTCACAGGGAAACTCGGGAAACTCATCCTCATATCAAATCAATGGGAAGATGACTTTCCAATCATATCAGGGCATGCAATCACTCTCGCGCAACGTCATCCCCGTCATCCCCTGCGCCAAAAAGGACCAAGCAACCCCCCCAAAGAGCACCTGCAGGGCAAATAGCGCAGCATTCACCTCGAGGAATCCCAGAAATCCAAACCACTGGGAGCCATGGGCATCAAACCCACCAAACCCACCAAACCCATGGGCCCATGGAAGGTGGCAACCCATCCAGAATCCAAACCCAGGCGTCTTTGGAAAGTGGGAGTCCCATCAAACTCCCCATTGCTCGGGTTTAATCACGATCCGTGATGCTTGAAAACCGAATATTCATGCTTAATTCCAATCTTTGATTCTTTGATGGCAAAAACACTTCCAATTTTTGATGGAGAACCATGGGAATATCGAGAAAACATATCGAAAAAGACCTACACAAAATGAGAATAAAATAGTCCAAAATGCCTTGGATTCCACCCATCTCCAGCCCAAAGAAAAACAAGTTCCCCCACCGGCCCCACCGTAAAGGCCAAGCCATTCGGTTCCACTCCGGCCCGGCCCAACAGTTCCTGCAGTTGCTCGTCATTCAGACCATACCTGCGCAAGGGATCAAGGGATGTAATGGATGTAGAAATGGTGACTTCGCCAGCGATGGCGAAACTAAGCTGTCAAAAATGCTGCTGTGAATATGGCTCAAGCATCCTGAAATGAAGAAAATCAAAGCCCTTAAATAAGATCAGTTCTATCCCCGAACAAAGGATACAAAGGGACCCCTGAATTAATGGATCATAGTGACTATGATGGATTCAACACAAAACCAGGGTTTACAGGGTGGTATTCAATGTTAAGGGGACAGGATCAATTGAATCAATAAACCAAAGTTTTGGGGTTGAAATCTCACCTATTTCTGCTAAGTCATCAGGGATGATGACTTAGGCATTGGGTTTGACCACAGACACCAGGTGGATAAAACATGTAAAATCATACTATTTAAGCATCAACATTTGGGGGTGTTCACCATCACCAATGGTAGGAAAATGTGGGTTTAAGCAAACATAATATAACAAAATGGTCATTTCAACGGATCGGTTTTAGAAAATCTGCACTAAAGCCTGGTTTCTATCCCAAAGGTTTTCCTGCACATTTTCCCTTAAACCAATACTGGGAACAAAGGAGATAGCAATATATAGCAATATGTGTGGCTACTATTGGCCAACCTTAGATCAAAAGCTGGATGTTGCATTCAAGTGCATTTCATGTGTGAAGAAGCACCTGCACCATTGACCTGTCAAGCTAAGGTTAGCGGAAGTATGGCCAGGCAACAATACGGTCCAAGTCGTGGTATCCAAAAAAAAACATGTCGCCACAAAAAGAAGTGTGGTGCCGTCATTTCCCCACAAAAATATATCAAAAGGACATGGAGCATTCCAAAGCTTCGCAAAAACCTACCATCAGGTATACACTGTGAACCTTTCACAAGAAAAAGCACACTCGAACCCAAAATCTGCGCAAATGCCACAAGGCAACCTGGCAACAAGCTTCCCCGTTTGTGTATGCGACAGGATTGCCATAGCTGCTAGTGACATTCACACTTTCTGGCCTAACCAGATCCCTTCTCACAACCCACTCCCGGTTTCAACCCTTTCGACCCAGCCTGTCCATTGGGGAAACCGCTCGGTAGACCAATGTCATGATCAAATCGATCCTCATCGGAAATGTTACAACGCAGTAGCCATCTTCCATGTACCGATCCTCAGCACTCCGCACTCCGCGTGAAGTTCTGATCAGCTCTTGCCCTGCAAGAAAACAATCTCCTGCTCCCCAGGTCCAGGGAAGTCTTCATAAGATGCTTGACAGTGGATGTGACCTTTTTGGTGGAGAAAAAAATGGAACCCCAACACCTCCGCCCGGTAGACACCAAGGTGCCAAGAGATTCTCTGCTTCCAGATCTGCACCCACCAACAGCAGCACTACCCTAGCTGACCTGGACAGGTTCATGAGTAATGCCGCCTGATAGTAAATACCAGCAATAAGGGACCCAAAATGAATAGATCTAACCGAGGGCTTGTAGGGTCCATCCTGATGAAAAGAACCGACTTGCAGCCAGAACATGTGATCATGGGTCATAATGACTACAGGGTACAGTACAGTACGTTTTGGCACTTGTTTAACATGTTTAACCGTTTAACCATCCCCACCTTGAGGTAACCAACCAGTTCCTTGAGTCCTGCCACCCCTATCAGCTATCAAGTCACGGATGGTGGAAGAGTACCGCATCAATGGCCGAAAACTCTGACGCCGACAAACCTCAAAAGCTGGTGCTGCAGGGAGAGGCTTTGAAAATAAACCCAGGTGGTATCCCCAACAACAAAGTTTGTTTGAAAATGTGGAAACAACTCCAACCTGGTCCAACCTGGCCTAACTCGAAACCTCCTGCCACATTTCTGTCAACGTTTCACCAAAACCTTCCCGCCAGAACGACGAAACTTTCCACCGGATCAACTCCGAACCGTCAGGCTCCGAAACTTTCACCGGAGCCCCGTTGCAACCTCCAGCGTTTCCGGGACCAGCCCAAATCCCTGACCGGGACTTCCCGGAACCAGCCGGAAATTTCACCGAACCTTGGGCTGAGACCCCTAAGCTAACGCTGTTGGGGACAAATTACTCATTAACCATAGCTGCAACCCAGGCAAAACCCAAATGTTCACATGCCCAACTTGCCCAACACATCCCAACACCAATTCCAAAAAAAAATTAGACAACAAAAAAAAAAGAAAGCACCACTCCAGCATCTCACCCTGTTACAGCCAGGCAACCCTTGGGTCCCTGCGAGGTCCGCGTCAGAAAAAAGTTGACGCTATCCTCGGCGCAGCTACCGCCCTGCCGCTGCGCGAAGAGGGACTCCAAGGACCAACTCAGCGGGATCCTCCGCGATCCCAGCATGGCTTTCGGCAGCTTTCGACACTATATGATTTCTACCCAGACATTTTTTGTACCAAAAAAAGTCGGACATCCTAAAAATGAACCAAAATTTATGTCCTTGATCTCTGATTGTTCATCCGCCCAAATGTTTGGTGCTGTAAAATTCGCACGCCCGTTGTCTTGATCGAAGCAGAACACCACAGGCGCTCCTGTCTTGCTGCCCCTGCACCGTCGCCACCAGGGCTGCTAAGCACCAGGCTCGGCCCAACATCTCGGGTCTCCATGAGCTGCGAGGGACAGAGCAGCTGGATTGAAGTGCCTGTGCCCCTGCATCTATGGACATGGATATAAATATATCTTTGTGGATTTATGATATGTACGATTCTGTCCTGTTTGGTTCTGTCAGCAATGCATGATGTTGAAGCATGTTGGGAAAAGGACTCGGGGCATCTATCTACAAATTGTCCTATGTCACTCAAGTCCGATTTGCTGGACTAGTAGAGCTGTTCACTCGGAGTTTCATGGCTTCTTCAACTGTGAAAAACAGGGGAAAGTTCTTTCCCAAGCTTGGCTATGACGAGACTTCTTTGTCAAGAAGCGGCCCCAAGCTTTGAGACAGAGTCATTTCAACTTCTGCTTTTTCTTGGCTGAATAACCCCAAGTTGTGGACAAGACAATCTGCGTAAATGCGGCGAACAAGAAGCCTGTCTGGGATGGGTCCTTGAAGGTTCAATCTCTCCAAAGGACCCTCCTGCCATTCCAAGCAGTCCTGAGGCGGCAGCAGAGGGCGCAATCTTGGCATACCTGGCGGCGAGTTCCACACCCTTCTGAGCCTGCTTGGTCACAACGTCGAGCCGGATTGGTTGATAGGGATTCACCCATAATGGATCGTTATCCCCGACATAACGATACAGCACCCCCCTACCATCATCTACCATCAATCAACAGGTGTCTTGAACACTGTCAATGTGGTTTTCCTGGACATTGAGAAACCTCCGCCCTGTGAACCGGTCACGAGAAACCCTGAAGTTCAAAACCTCCGCTGCTTCGGCCTGGCGGCAACTGAAGTCATGTTGACACCACCGACACCACCACCCTGAACTTCATCCTCGGAGTGAGTTATACACCGCAAGGGGGGTTGGTCACAACCATTTGGGTCGGATTCAAAGTGATTGCCACTACGGCGGGAAACAGCTGCTACTCCCAAACAGGAGGAGCCAAATATACCAACGTTCAACCTCCCTGACACGAAGTCGTATCATATCTACTGCTGTCGGTGATGTTGAAACTCCTCAAAACGAGACGTTTTTCAACTTGCAATGAACCTACCTATTCACAATGTACGGCCTGGCATTCTGCGGTCTTCGCAGAAATTCTCCTGCGAGGTATTCGGTTCAGTGGAAGATGGGCACGAGATGCAACATGGAAACCACAATGATCATTGCCAATCGGAAATTACAAAAATCCTGTGCTAACCCGTTTTTCAGTTCTAGCAAATGGAGCTTTTGACTCCAACATCCAACTCATCTCCAAGAAGTAGAGGAACTCATGGAATTCCCCTTATATTTCTGAGCACCTCCTTGAAGTCCCCCGTTTCAGATGGCCTAGTCATGTTATGACCCCCCTGGAAGTGTCCCAGCTCCAGAGGCGGGCTCGATCGAATGGCTGGCACAGCAGCAACCCGCTGGCAATAGAACTTCTTCAGCCTGTGGGGGCCAGGCTTGGAAACTCAGGTCTCATGCGGACCGGCACACCATCTACACATCGAGAAATAGGTGGGATTGCCCATTGCAATCTTTGATTGCCAGAGAACAAGCATGCCAAACTTGGGAAATGCAAACACCAAAGACAATTCTCTTCGTTTTGGGGATGTGAGCCCCCAAACACCAAAGTGTTACTCCGCGAAGTCCTTCACCGACTAGGCCAGACGGTCCCCCATTTGTCTTGAACAAGTCCCCCCTGATGCTCTGAGATTCAATTGTGGCATTGAGTGCCCCGAAACACCAGGCAGCACTGCAGCGTTTTTGCAGCTTAAAATCGATGCGTTCTCATCTGCACCACCTACCTACTCTAATCATAGCTCACCATGCTTCAGCGGCCTGCCAACATTGGGCAGGCCCACCACCACCTGAGGAGCTAACAAGAGGAGCCTTGCACAGGGACACCACATATATACGTACAGTATTTCAAAAAATAAATATAATATATATATATTATATATATATAGCCCACTAATGAACCTCACTGGAACCAACAAGAAGCATGTTCTTGGCATTTTCCAAGTTGTTTAGCATTGTTTCGCACTTCGATTTCGGCCCCGGACCAGAACTCTGCCCACCTTCCCCTGACTGCTCTGGCCCTGGATGGACTTGACCTTGAAGTACTCACTCATCTGAGCCGAGTTCAAGTCCAATGCCGAGCGCAGCTCAGCATACCTGGCTATGGTTGATTTACGCAGGTCATTCTGGTCATTCTGGCAGATATTTTAACAGATATTTTAACAGATATTTTAACAGATATTTTAACAGATATGTACACATCACATGCTACATGATGTTTAGGGGTTCCATCAGAATTCAATGCCGAAAATCTGAAAATCCAGGAGTTGGCATTTTGTCGCCCTGTTTTTGAGGATGGATCTCACCAGCCATCAACTGAAGCCAGGCCCGGCAAAAATTAAGGCTTCTGATGTGCCCTCACGTCCCACACAAACCAAACTCTTCCAAATTCGACTTTCAACAGAAAGAATACAGAAAAAATCTATTCAACAAAAAACATGTCCTCCCCCACCCCAACTCCAATCATCTTCCAAGCGACTTCTGCGCCTTCATGGATTGCTTCAGATTAAAGGCATCTCTCCGGGCCGCCGCCTTGATCTCCTTGGATTTGGCCTCGGCTCCAGCCGAGATGTTGGCGATGGTCGCCTGGTTCTCGGACTGCAGCACGGAGATATGCTGTACCACCCGCTGAACCTACGACTACGGGCCAGGGACCCCGGGCCAGGGTCACTTTAATCCACTTGAATCATGGGAAAATATTCAAGCTATTGGAAGAAAAAAAAAACCTGAAATGGATCGGATCTTTGACGTTCCACGCAATTTCAATGCGGTGAAGAATGGTGAAAAACCCTCAGTGCACGGCCAGCATCATGGCTCTCGTTTAACAAAAACAAAAAAGAGCAACAGAATGACATCGCCCCCGCCTGCTGTTCGTACTCATTCACCACCTTAGCCTGCTCGGCCACTTGCACTGCAGTGATGGAGTCCTCGAACTGCTTGGCAAAGTCCACCTGGCCAGGAGACTGATCACAGCTGAAACATGATATGTCTACCTGCACCGTCCAAGAGCAGCACAATTACTACTCTTTCAAAAACTGTTTTTTCAAACTGCGAGTGTTTTGTTCTCCGTTCGAACGATTCTTGTTTTTGTAGTGTTGTGGTCATGGCTGAAACGGCAAAACTCTAGGAATACCTTCAGCTTGAAACAGCGTAAAACCCCAGCCAAACGGCTTAAAATCCAAACCAAACGGGTCTTTTTTTGCCTCGTATTTTGGTGCTTTAGCCGCTGAATAGCCATTGCCCTGCACGTCTATGTCCGAAGCTTTCAGGCAAGCAATCAAAAAGTTTGAATATGGAAATGAATTCTTTGTTGATGAAAAACGTATAATTTCATTTCACTGCCATAGATTTGTGCGAACCATCTCTCGGGGAAGCTGTATGTTGCACTACTAAAAATGGGCTGCATCACTCTTCAGGATTTGATGCTTGCAATGCTTGCATATATTGTAAGCAATACACTCCTGCAGGATCCTGCAGGTATAGGTATGTAGTTGTTCAATACATACACATAATGACATACCCTAGTCGGCAGGCGTGTAACTTTGATACCCATTTTGACAGTCAACAGTTCCGACTTGCAGCTGGTTGTTTCAGGTAAGTGTTTTTTTGGTGGAAGTCCCAAATCAGGTGCTTGCTGTCGTCCCACGAGTGCGTTTTTTTGTGATTTTTTGTGATATGTAAATATATGAATATACGTAGACATAATTGTGATAAATATATATGTGTAGCACAAATAATATCCGCCATACAGACTATTTGTCTGCATGTGTATTTGCATATGTTGTTTTTAGCATCATATGCCTCCAAAGCAGATAGAAGAGCAAATTACCATTAGATTCTAGGGATTCGAGTTTCTATGTTTCTGTGGTTCTTAAAGGTCCGTTGTTATCCAACTCAGGTTCGTTTTTGCTTCCATTGCGTGCCAGTTTGGTGGACCACTGACCTTCATGATCTCGAACTGCATGGCTTCGACATAGCCCTGGTGCCATAGGGTATGGTTGATCTTGAAGAGCATTCGATCCGAGATTGTTCTTCTTTTGGTCCAGAAGTCTGTGGGAGTGTACTCTTGCGCCGTGTTGCTCACGACATTTCCCGCCAGCAGCAGATATCTTTCCCTGGCAGCCTGGAAACTTCCAAAGGAGAGGTAGACTTGTTGAATGAGCTCCGGTACAAACTTCACCTGAACGTTCAACTGATCCAGTTTTTTGGTCTCAAAAAACACTAGTGACTTGGTATCATAGGATGGCTCAAAGAGAATGTGCACAGGAAAAACCATACTGACATATCGTATCTGAAGGGAACAAGCATGATTCTTGTAGGTTCATCCACACAACTGGGAGCTAAAATCATTCAAATCCACCCGAGTATGATCATTTTATCATATTTGATCTACGGCATTTCCCGTTGCCCACGTTGCCCACGTTGCCCAGTTCCGCTGTGCCTGAACAGCACAGGAGATGGAGATGGGCTGCCCACCGCTGTCTGGATCCTGTGGATCCGCCCCCGTCCGGGTGTGCACCGGTGCCCGGTCACCATCACTCCAGGACCACTGCAACGTTCCCTGCGCCGCAGGCACCGTGAAGAACGTCTTCAAGGGACCGACAAAGTGGATGCCGCCGCGCTCGGCCCGGTCCGAGATGTAGCCCGTCAGGAGGTTCTTTCGGATGCCTCAGGTGGCATCTTCGAGGTCTTGGGACATTTCCAGAAGAGATGATGCGGTGTGGTAAAGTGAAAGATGGAAATGCTACGCAAAAATAAAACGGTGTCCAGGCATAGCATTCCTTCGAAACGGTGGACTTTACAAAAAAATCTAGGCGTTTCACCAGCCAAAAATGATAAATCTAGATCTATATCATTCCATGCTCTATACCAATACCCCTCTATTCAATTCTATTCATCTCAATCTGTAAAAATATCCCACTTTTTCCTGGGTTTCATCCGACCCAGCTGCCATATTGGTTGGGCTCCAGGACCACCACACAGGTCACCAAGATGAAGAGGACAAAGCCCGTCACACGGCCCAGCCAGGTCGCCACTGATCCACCCGCGGGCTCCGCCACAGGACGGCCGTCCCCTAAGAGCCCCACGTCCATGGCCGGACGTGGCCGGAGCGGGGGAATCCTACATCTGGGCCGGCGGCCATGGTGAAAAACATAAGTTCCTTCCGGGATTCGAGTGGAAAATCGGAACCATATTTTTTTTGCTGCCCCTCTGATTTTGCTGTTTTCCTGGCCTTATTATTACTCCCTTCAACCAATGGTATGGGACAGGTGAATTTTCATGCGAATTGGGGGATGAAAGTGTGGCTAAAGAGGCTGTTTCCATGTGAGTAGCTTTTGGAACTTTCTATAAAATCTATAAAACATGATAAAGAGGGAAAAGGGAGGAAAATCATCTGCACAATAAATGGGGGATATTCGTTTGCCACGTTTGTCTACCACAGTTTATAAGCCAATGTAGCCAATGATGTCCTCAAATTGGACAAACAGGTAAGGGGCCAGCATAGATGCATCATTTTGTCATCACTTACCTGTTGTAAACAAAGGGTGGTTACAGTTTTCCCCTCTTTATCTGGTCAACCAGCCAGTAAGAAAAGGACGACAGACTCGGATGATTTGCAACGGAAGCGCATGAGGACAGGCCAACATTTTTTCCAAGATAAAATATTCATCTGTCATTGGTTAGGTTGCTTGTGTGCGGGTGCGTTACGGTCCCCGATCAGTGCACTGATCTCGTGAAATTTCACTTGGCTGTGCCCCACAAGTGGCGTCATAGCCAAAATCCTCTTTAGATAGCAGACATGCCCACAACCTAGTCCAAAATTCCTTTTTACTCATAACATGGTACAAATTTGTCCATATAGAGGAATCAAGAAAGAATTTGGGGCCGCCCGAATGCGGCGGTGACCTTGAAAGCAGCTTCGTCTTGTTTTTCCATATTCGCGCCGTCTCTGCTGCCAGTTTTCTCTGTAAATACTGGGCCCTGTGACATTGTCTTGTGCTGTGTCTGCACATGTTCTCCGGCCGAACGGGGAGCATCAAAGCAAGACCAAATAATACCCAAATCTGTTCAGAACCTCTTATCACTATGAACTCTGAGATACTCTGAGTCTAAACATAATCTGGGATCTGTTTGAAAGCTCGTCATGCTCATGTGACTCATGTGTGATGCCAACCGACCAGTACCACCTCTCTGGTTGGAGGGGGGCTGCTGCCAGGACATTCACTCCACAAGTTCACTCTTCACCATCTGCGACTGGGTGTCAAAGATGATGTCAAAGCTTGCACCCGCTGCACCTCCCAACTCAACACTGGAACAGACTCCACTGCAGCCTATCAATATAAACATCTAAGCATCCAGCCTGCCGAGAAAAAAACATTTGAAAATGATCAGTATACAAAAAAAATGCTATAGTTCATAGAGAAAATCATGATTTTTAAGCAGCAGGTATCACGGGGTAACAATGGGGTTCCCTCCCCAGGGGCCGGCCTTCCACGGCCCAGTTGCGACCATGGCCCTTCTTCTTGGAGCCCAGGGCGGCTTTGGATCCCGGGCCACCAGGTTTCAGCACCACCACCTCCTGCGGAAATAGATAGATCTGGGCTTTGAGGATGGTTGTGTTTTTCCTTTCTTTCTGGTGAAATAGCTAAATTAGCTAACAACCAAACATCCAATTTGGGAGGGGCCAAATTTTGATCCAGTCTCGTTTCGAATCTAGTGATTGGCCAAGCAATGACGCTTGCACAACAAAAAAAAACGGACACCTGACATCATGGCTTGGAATGAATGCTTCCCCATCGAGCAGAGTGATGCAAACAGAGGTTCAATATTATTGTAGACGGCCCCTTGGAGAGTGCCTGAACAAGCGTGACTAAGCCCTGCCCCACCACGGCAATCCCAACCTCCTTATCACCACCCGCTGGGTAGTACCTCAAATCCCAGCTCTTGTTCCCCACAATCTGGAACTCTTCTCTAACGCTGTTGCTCGCTTTTCCTTTAGGAGCATCAGACCGTAAAACCACTCGGTGTCCTTGACCAAAGCAGGGCTGCAAAGAGGAACCTTAAAAAAATATGGTTTCAGCTTACTGCACTTGACCCTATTGAAAAATTGTCAACAATGAAGTTGTCAGAAAATTGCATTCACCCTGTGACAGCTTCACTCCCCTTACTATCCGGCAACCCATCCCAAATCTCAGTCTCCATGTACAGTGACAGGCCTCATACCACTACTGAACAGGGGCATAAATCTTGGTTTTCTTGGGTCATCTACCACCTCAAGAGCAAAATAACCCTCTTCCCTCTGCACTCAGGGCCCTAGCATCCCTAGCCCAATGTAGCTTGGCGTCTGAGTCCATCGTCACCAGCCATGGCAGACTTGTGGATGCTCCACTTCTCCCAGGATCCTACGATGTGATGCGACGTGACCTCCACACCTGGGATGGGATGACTGGGATGACTGGGATGACTTGACGAGATCGCAGGGAACCGCAATTTAACATATATAGCTATAGAAAATGACCCATTTATAGGTGATGTACTGATGTACCTACCCAATTTTTTTTGATTTTCCATAGAAATGTTAAATTTCCAGAAGCCCCTGGGAAACAAGAAAGAAACCTGGGTTTTGGGCTCAAGGGGTTGTAATCTGGCATGATGGGCCCGTAATGATCCCCTCCCTGTAGTTCCTGGGGTCGCACCTGGATCTGAGGTCGCTTCAGGACTGCTCGCTTCATCGGAAGCTTGCCTCAAGGGGCTCTTGGGAAGGTGGGATCCAAAATCACCAAGCGGTGGATCGCACCAGAATTACAATGTAAGACATGTAAAAACGGTGGCCAAGTCTCAAACCTTCCCCAATCTTCCGGTGACACCGAGGCGCACATCAGAGGCCCGATCCTTTCGTTTCTTCTCGTCCCACTGTGGCATGAAGCTCACGCTCATTCCGGGTGACAAGGCATCCATGCCCTCACCCAAGCCACTGCGGTGCACAAAGACGTCCTCACCGCCCTCGGAGGGGGAAATGAAACCAAAACCCTTCTGGTCGTTCCAGTTCCTTAGCGATCGGAACGATGTGTGGATCAAAGTTTGGGTAGCCCCTAAAAATGGGACGGTCAGATTTTGAATAGTAGAAATTGCCAAAAACTGTGGAACCGAGAGTTTTTCACACCCACATCATTATATATGACATTTGATAAGCACGCAGAGTGAACCCAGAATCCCTAGCGTCTCACATCTCCATGAGGCCAGTTGGGTGACTAGTTGATGAAACATTACCAGCAGTTAAAGGCTTCAGCTAGCCGTCCACAAAACTCTAGAAAAAAATCTTAAATAACAGGTGACACTGGGCGATGAACTCAACTGGCAGAGTCGGATCCCCGGGGAACTTTGACAATTGGCCATGTTCCCATAATGACAGGCATGCCATGGCCATACTTCCTCCACAATTCTGCTGTCAAGCATCTTCACTACACCCACCCTCCTATCTGCGAAACACCTCACCGCCAGCCATGTGCTTGGCAAGGCCTGGCGTTGTCGCGCAACAATGCCAGCAACGCCTTGCCAACCGCGCAGCGCGGCCGCCATGGCACTTTGCGAGTAGAAAATTGAAGCACTTGAAGCTTCTTGGGAGATTATGCTGAATCCCGGGCAAGAGCCAGACCATGTTCGAGGCAATACATCCCAGCACGTGGAATCTGAAGCGCAGTTCGATGTGGAATGTCCACATGAAATTTCAAATTGGTCCTTGGATTTGAAACATCTGAAACGTTCCTTGGTCGAGTCGTCCCTCTTCAACAGATCTTTGCCCACCCAATTTTTGCAAACAGCCAAGCCTGTTTGCAAGATGGAGATGCTTTGCTCCTTTGTTTGGTCCAGCCATTGTGGCCTTGAAGCGATCATTCTTAGATTTTCAGACTTTCAGATGAACTGTTCACAATGTTGCATTGCACCGAAAATGCCTATCCCGAATTTTCCATACGTCCCAATCGATTTCATGTTGTTCTTTGCCAGGGCACCCATCAAAAACCTTCAAACGGCCATGAAATCCACTCGCCACCCTTGCAGCCAGGCTTCCAGACACTACGCAACGAGTCATCGCCTTAAGACCGGCTTGGCTCCGCGTTTGATCAACAAAATCGTGACGTGAAAACGGATGAACTTGACATAGTAAAAAAATTGACCATTGAAAATAGGGATGTAATGGCGATAAAATGATGTAAAATGGTGATATGTAGGGATGTTAAGCGGATTAAAAATAAAAATATGAAATGGTTGTCTGAAAATTGGATACCCCCGTAGCATTGCATTGCATTACTAACCTGGGAAAATGAAGATAAACTGTGGTATTGAAAGTGGTTCCAACATGTTCCAATTTATGGGAGCATCGATGCGGATTGAGGGCCTCCCTTCAACCGATCGCCATCAATGGCCCATGGATGGGGCCACAACGCATGCAGTCCTGACATGCCGCAAAGCCACCGAAGAAACACCCGAAACGCACATCGTAAATGTTCATGAAATGAATGGAACTATTTTATTTATACCCAAAGAAGTGTCCTTGAAACTCACGTTGCGCCCCTGTTGGAATCGCCAAAACCAAGAGAGATGCAGGAACTGATTGCAACAAGGCCCAAGTCAAAACCTAGCACACGTGACAAGCAGGAACAATGGAAAATAAGTAACATGATTTCATGAAAATTAAATAAGCTTCGGTGGTATCCCAAACAGCCGCAAAATTTTATTTTCACAAATCCTTCTGAAAGGTGCTGCAAAGCCAAGCGCTGGAAACCCTGTTGAACACATTGAACCTGACCTGGCTCAACACCAAAGCCTCCCAGACCTTCTCCGGAACCTCTCCGGAACCTTGTCGGGAACTCTGTTGAACGTGACCTGGCTCTGCACCAATGCTTCCCAGACCTTCTCCGGAACTTTCGAAACCTCCTCCGGAACCTCGTTGAACCTGACCTGGCTCCTGCACCATTGCTCACCGGAACTATTCTGGGCTGAAGAAACCATTAGTTTGCGCTGTTGGGAGGGAAAAAAATAAGCTTCGGTGGTATCCCCCGCAGCCGCAATATTTTTTTTACAAATCTTTCTG